TACAGTGAAGCACACTGACACGGCCTCCTAGTAAAACACTCCCTGCACACAGTTAACACTTTGAACAGCCCTCATGTTAACCCCTTTCTGCCCAGTGTCATTAGTACAGTGTCAGTGCTTTTTTTTATCACTGATCACTGTATTGGTGTCACTAGGGATGTCAGTGACACCAAGTCAGTTCCCCCTCCAGTGTCAGAATGTCCGCAGTAGTCCTGCAGTCCCGCTATAAGTCACTGATCACTGCCATTACTAGTGAAAAACAAATCCCAGTATATATATATCGCCATTTGTAAATAACTGTATGACTTTCACGTAAACCAATTAATTTTTGGGATTTTTATTAGCTAAGACATGTAGCAGAATACATTTTGGCCTACATTTATGATGAAATTTGATTTTTAAATTTTTTTTAATGGACATGTTTAATGGAAAAAAGTCAAAAATATTGTTTTTTTTCTCAAAATAGTCAGTCTTTTTTTTTATAGCGCAAAAAATAAAAAACACACAGGCAATCAAATACCACCGAAAGAAAGCTCAATTCGTAAAAAAAAAGGATGTACATTTCATTTGGGGTGCAGCGTTGTATGACCGTGCAATCATCAGTTAAATTAACACAGTGCCGTAATGCAACAAATGGCCTGGTCAGGAAGGGGGGTAAATCTTCAGGAGGGTGAGTGGTTAAAGCCAGGCTAAACATTTTTAAGCTGTTGCAGCAACAATTTTTATTTTCTGTTGTCATAAAAGTTTTTAACTAAACAAATAAAAGCTGACCATTGTCTCTGCTGCTAGAAAATAAAATGGGCTGCTGAACACTCTAACTGCCATTTGTTATGGACAGCTTGGTCTGTTAAACTAAGCTGAAAAAAATTATAGATTTACTGGCCGAATCACAAGGTAAAAATAAATAAAAAAAGGCTTACAAATAAAATGAATGTAGCCACTACATTTAAGAATTGGTACGTTGAAATGTAATAATATTTTGTTTTGGGGTCTAATACTACTTTAAATTCATGACCATCTTCCTTAAATCTATTATGTTATACTTGTTGTTGATTTTTGTGTAGCATTAAAATGGCGTTTAGTCTCTGCATTGTTTGAAGCATCTCTCTTCATGTTTATTTAATACTTTTTGTAGAATCCCAGTTCCCATTCATGGACCTGTTTTCTTTCCATGAATACAGCAAGCTGTTCACTGTATAAAACTAAAGGAGTGTAGCTAGCATTTATGTTCATTAACTGATAATGTCATTCATGATGGTATTTTCTATCCAACCTGTATGTTCCATATCATAAAAAGACTGGTACTACAAAAGCGATTCAAAGAAAGTGTGAGCTACTAATAACTAGCTAACCAAAGCTGTCAATGCCAGAAAGTTCACTGTTCTTTATTCAAGTTGCCAGTAATCTCTTAAATCAAGATTCTATAAAGCAGCTCACAGGGTCAGTGGGACAGGAACAGTTTGCTTGGTAGAACCTGTGCTTGCGTCCACTTTATTTGCATACCACACAGGGGCGGACTGACCATTTGGAAAGTCGGGCACTGCCCGAGGGCTGGGGGTCAGTAGGGGGCCCCATGAGATGCCCCTGGTATCTTTTTCATAGGCTTTTTTGAGTTTGGCAAGGACACAGGGGCCCCATGATCCCCTATTGCCTGGGGGGCCCCATGAGTTGTCAGTCCGCCCCTGATACCACATCATATTTAAACTTCCAAAGCAGGTTGGAATCTGATTTGTGGGCGAGAGAATATTCTTAGCACTGGCACGTTTTTGCTTCCAGTGTTTGAGAGGCATGAAGTAGCCTTCAGTGAGTGTTTTTAGCTTCTCAGCCAAGGAGGATCCAGAGTGACCACTTTAATAGCAAAGGGACTAGAGTAGACTGGTGTAGTAAATATATGTCTGGATGAACAGCTGAGGTACTAAGTAAGCAGGCAGGAAGTTCTCTCTGTATGAAAATCAATGTTTAATTTTTATTTGTGGAGAGTAACCTTAATGTAACCAAGCTATCCAAAATACACACCAAATATTAGCAGGGCTTCAAAGTGATAGTGTTTTACCATTTCTGATACCTCCAATTCAGTGCATGAGCTCCTACCCATAAAGATTCACCGGACACAAGGCAGTGTCTAGGGAACTTATCTTGAAACTAACTTTATCTCAGTAGCCATTTAGCAAGGATGGCATATACACTGTCATTCAAATAGCAACGCGATGAGGAACTGACAATATCTATAAGAAAGGAGAGTACATCCAGGCAGTGCAATTGTGCAAATAATGCCACACAGCATTAAGTTTAATTCAAATAAACTGGAATAAATCAAAATATATACACAATGAAAATACATTGTAATGGGTACCATATTCAATGACATCATAATGTACTGCAGTGTACATTCATACATGCACCAAAAGTAGCAAAGTGCTAGTAAAGCTGGACCAACTCATGGCCAGGCTGTAGCTTCAGCCAGCTTGGGCTATTGCTCATAATGGCAATAGGGTGTGGCAAGGCTTTGCAATGTACTTACATCGACAACATTGTGCTTCATCTTGGGGAAGTTGGTAAAAAGCTATGCTAGTGCCTGAATACCTACTGTACTTAGGGAAATCTGACTTGATTTTTATTTGTCCTCTGATGTTATAGTGCTTGAGAGCTATTAACTTAATTAATTAATTAGCATTAATAAATGGTTCTCTCTATTAATGTCTCTGAGTTTGAGACTTTTATGGAATGATTCTCATTCATGATTGTTTGTCCTTTTAATATCTGTACAATATGAAAGTATATAAGGAATAAACCAACAAAGCGAAAACCTAAACCTAAATCAACAAACACCTTAGATTGTACGCCCCTTGAGGGTTAGGGACTGATGTGAATGTAAAATATAAAGTGCTGCGTAAATTGCTATATAAGTACCTGAAATAAATAAATAACAGGTGTTGCCTTAACAAGCGGTTTCAAATGACAGGTGAAATCTATCAGTTTTCTACTAGTGCTATCTAAGAAATAGAATGCCCAACACATGTAGGGTGGGGGGGCTGTTTTCTGATGTCTGGTCTACGCTATTTCCAGTTTTTCTAATAATGTATGAATAATCAGTTTTAAAATTCCAAGGTAGGCTTGAATTTGTTTGAATGTTATGAGGACCTTTTGGTACATCAAGCTTTCTGTAAGTGAGAGACAGTAGGAAGCTGACTGCCACAGAACAGCCCTTGCTGTAGATGCTTACCTTGTGACTTGCTGCAAAGTTATAGTGTTACAGTCTGATCAATGGGGTAGAGGGGACTGAGAGAATTGAGTTTTAATGCTAAAAGGTGCAACTTAAAAAAAAAATAACAAATAATAATAAAGATGCTGTATATTGTGACACGCCAGGAATTTATTTGTACAGACTTACTGAAAGGTCCATTTTAATTGTCACCATTTACAAGTATAATATAGCTTGTTCCGTAAGTTCAGGATAGAAATATGAGAGCAGCAATCACTGACTTGTTTATGAAGGTGAGTGTCTTTCTTATCTTTACATCAATACATGTTGAATCAGTCATTAAGCATAAGCATATGCATGGCAGGTGTATGACATCTGATATGCATGTTCTTATTGAGGGTTAGTGACTCACCTGGTAGAAAAAGAATAAAGACAACAGCCTTTGTATACTGCACCATCATAAACAAGGTAAATAGATACATTTATAAAGATAGATAGGAACTGCTACTGATTTTATTATTTTTATTATTTATTTATTACAGGTACTTATATAGCAATAAACAATGGGCAGCACAGTGGCTAAATGGTTAACACTTCTGCCTGGCAGTACTAGGGCTGTTGGTTTGAATCCCAACTACAGCACCACATGCCTGGTTTTTGCATGTTCTCCCTGTGCCTGCATGGGTTTCCTCAAGGTACTCTGGTTTCCTCACACACTCCAAGGACATCCTAGTAGGTTGATTGGCTCTTGTCTAAATTGGCCCTAGTATGTGTATGTATGAATGTAAGTTAGGGACCTTAGATTGTTTGCCCCTTGTGGGTTAGGGACTGATGTGAATGTACAGTATATATGTAAAGCGCTGTGTAAATTGACAGTGCAATATAAGTACCTGTAATAAATAAACAATAACATCAGTAGCAGTTCCTATCTATCTTTATAAATGTATCTATTTATCTATCTATCCTTGTAGGTAAATTGTGGTCACATAATCTGCTGTAGCAAGTAGCGACTCTAGGTATCAAGTTATTTCTTGTTCAATACATTTTTTTATTCAGTTTTACAATACAAACATATAATGTGAACCATTGTGTGTCCATTAGAAAAAACACACATAAATAGTTTGGAGGGCCATGGCTTAAGGAAAAGGGTTCAGAATGGTAATGGTCCATCAGAAAACAGTAAAGGTCCAACAGAAAAATCAAACGTGCACATAGTAGGCATTATAAAGTGAGATGCCTGTTATTGAGTTATTTCTACTATAGTAAAAATAGATAATACAATATGTAACTTTGATATAATTAACAAGCAATCTCATCTTGTTTCAATGCACATTCCAACAAAGCAATAATTCAACTAAAAATAGATTCTGACTATAAAGTCAACATTTTATTAATATATAAATCAGCAATATCAACAAAAACACCATTCTTCATACTTGACATTCTGCTAGCCAAGGCAACTTATTGGTAACTAGTAAGAGCTTCCGCTTTGTCAAGTGATACATTAAAGATATAAACTGAATAACGTCTTTCTGTATTATTATGCCTACATGTGAAATACATATACACAATATCCACATATATATAGTAACTGTTTTTAAATGTATAGCCATATGAATGCAGCTCCTCTCATATAATAATCTTTTATGCACAGATATATGTTAACATTATTTATGTAAGGACTGCAAATGCATGGGCAAATATATATTCACAAATGTATTTATAAAACTAATAGTTACCATTAAAATTTATATTTCTTAAATATAAACCATAATAGTAGAAGATAGAAGTTACTTACTGTGCCTAGCTTCTTAAGAAGGTGACAAAAGAAATCATCAAGCTCTTTACCTTCAATGTAACCGTTGTCTAGATACATAGAAAATATATTTTAAATCCATATTTATGACTGTTACATTTATGTCTTAAACTAGTACTTACAAGCAAAGAATTTATTTCAGTTATGTATAAAATCAATTATTTGGCTTTTTAAATAAGAAATAGACAGATGCAGTAAGCCATGTAAACCAATCAACAATCATTTATTGTTGCTCTGATTGCTCTAAATAATGAAAGTTGAAATACATTTGTCTATTCTGGTCTACCGCAGTTCCACTTCACTGTTTCAACTGCCTCATTAAATAAGCTCTGCTCTGTATATCCTTAATGTGAAAAAATAAAATAATAGAAGACTGATATGGTGGGTGAAGCAAGGTCAACAATAATGGGTTATACAAGGTATTTTACACTGTTGACATTTCCGAGGATTGGAAGTCTTTTACTAAGTAAATTACATCCAATTTCCGCGGAAATGGAAAATACTTTGCCTTCATAATCTCTTTAGTGAAGTGATACTGTCAGCTGTAAAATGAATATGAAATGTGAGTTGAAGGTTGTTAACATTTTGCACTAATTATGTCTATAATTATTAATAAGCCTGTCCAGAACCTTCAGTATACACCACTGTGTTGTGTATGATATATCTATCTATCTATCTATCTATCTATCTATCTATCTATCCACACATATACTGTATGTTTATTTATACTATATACTGTGAATGTATACAGAGCCTTATTTTTTTTAATTTTTATTTCTTGCACAACTTTATATAGTACAGGTTCAGCTGTGTAAGCTATCCATAAGGCACATTTTATTGTATTTGTTTATTTTTTACAATTATTTTTGTAGTGCCAACAGTTTAGGCAGTACTCTACATACTGTACATTTACATCAGCCTCTGCTCTCAAGTAGTTTACGAGCTAAGGTCCCTACCCCACCTACATACACACATATTCCTATCTCACATTCATACACACACATAGCACAGCCAAATTTGTCAAAAGCCAATTAACCTACCAGCATGTTTTTACATTGCAATGTGTTTTGTCATTCTATTGTGTTTGTATTGCTTACAGAATACCTAACTTTGCATACTTTCAATACTATTCAATTGACTTTTTGTTTTTGACTGGAGTTTTATGTATGCTTCAATCAAAAGACTGCAGATTTCAAATTACTTTTGTAATATGGATGACCATTCTGAGGCTGTTTAAAGCTTCACTCTTTTTTTGGTCTATTAAAATCTATGCATGTTGCAGTCAAAAGCAAGTATAATTCTCCAAATGTTTACATTTAAAACAAAGCTTATACAAGTCTTTAAATAGGTAGGCATCATTTTTTACATTATATACACTGCTGCACGGTATTATTATGTGCTTAGATGAAATGAAGTTTTAAAATTTTCTCTGTGTGTTTAATTAGCCTAAAGGTTCAAAGAGACTTAATAAAAAATATAAAAACACATGTGGAGCTGCTTGCTTACCATCAGAGTCAAAACGCTGCCAAATCTCCAAGAACTCCGCAGCATCCAGCTTGAGAAAACTGCTGTCCATGGTGCTAATGTTAGAACAGTGCTGAAGGGAGAAAGCAGAGCAGAACAGACTAGAGCTGAGCCTTTTCTTCCAATTCAGCTCTCAGCTTTATTTATGGTTAGCAGCTATCTCCTCCCATGAAGCACTTGTTGAATTGCCTGAAAAGGAGGCAGGGTCATTTGCAGAAATAATGTATCACATATGCTCTAGTGAAGGTTAAAGTCCAATGAGGCTTATCAGAAGTTCTATTGTTCTGCTAGGTGCCTTGCGTCACTGCTATGTTTCACATGACAGTGACAGTGGCATGTGCACGAAACATATTGTCTAGGCAGAGGCACAGACCTATCATGTACTTAACATTATACATTATACATTATAAGTATAGCCTTTAGCGTGTAATGAAATGTACAGTTAGATCAAGGCATTATACAAATGCTTTCCGGTGTGTAATTAATACAGTGAATTAAAATGGAACTAAATGCCAATGTTAAACTGCGATCAGACAGGCTCTTCATTGAAGAAGAGACATGCAATGTCTCGTCTGAAACAAAACAAATCTACTTGCCTGTCCGCAGACAGTGTGCATACGCAGCCCAGTTTACATTCTGGCACAGTGCCTGTGTGCCAAGGTGACTGCGCTCCTGCATATGTGCAGATGTGATGTCATCCCAAGCTGGCCAATCAAGATGGCCAAATACCAACACCCAGAAGAAGATGGGGAGAAGGTGCCAGGCCATGCGGGAGCTGGACTGTTGAAGCAAAGGTAAGTATCAATGTATCTGGTTTAAGGTAATCTGATTTCAAAGTTGATTCCATTTTAAATACTGTATATTAAAGTGTTACTAAACCCAGGACCCTGCATTCGCTATATCTGGTCTCCCACAGTGCACAGAACATGGAAGTGCAATTATTTTAGTAAATATAAATTGCTAAAGGAAGGAATTTTTTTCCCCTGCAGGAGCTAATTGGATCATGCTTTGCTGGGTTCTTTTGTGTGGGTATAGGATTATAACTTTTTTTTTAATGGTTGAACTGGATGGACTTTTGTCTTTTTTCAGCCAGACTAACTAGGTAACTATGTAAATACCTTTTCTCATCAGCAGTTACAGCAGTCTTGTGACTTCTATCAGTGCCCAGCTGAGCATTGGTTAACGCTTGTAGGAGGAGCTTTCTTTCTGCTCTAGGAGGATACAAAACCCCTTACCTCTGTCTGGACAGTGGTGATTGGCGCTGTGCTGATCACATACACTCTCCCAAGAAAAAGAAAAGAAAACCTCTCTAGCAATACACACTAAACTGAGCAGAATGGCTATGGTTCAGTCTGCCTAATCAGGAGATAAGACATGGACCTTTGAACTAGAAGAAGAGCAGAGAAGTCAGGATTAAACAGACTTTGTACACAATGCAAAAGGATTAACCCATTAGGTTCCACAGTAAGTATACCAAGCATGTTTTACTGCATATACAGACTGATTTTTACTGTTGTGGGTTTAGTAACACTTTAAAAATATTTTGAAAAAAAGCGATGTAAACAATACATTGAAGTAATGTTGTAACATGTATTTTTGTCTTCTTATTTTAAAAGAAAAAATTAGGCATGTGAGGTTGAACTGGGTGGAAAATTGCTCTGTGGTGGCTATATTAAATATAAATATATACAGTAGATGCAGGATAGAGTATGTACATATATATTACTTTCAGATGTGCCTATTGTTCAGTCCTCAGTAAATATTTGTTACTAGGTATCAATGTTGAATTGTTGATAAGGTGAGCATTTACTTGCAAAATGAGACTTGTTAAAGCTGACCTCTGACCTCCAGAGAAAAGAAAACATCCCTTGTAGTGGGACTCCACAGAGAAAGGGTTAAATACTCTCTTATACCTAGGGTACCAGTAACAGAACTTTTACTTACCTAATTCCTCATGCCCCAAAGCAGTTGTCATTCTCCTCTTTTTCTTGAGTGTGTCCCGCAGTGATCACCGCAGGTAAAAATAAACAAAAAAGCTTCCTAGTGGAAAATCCTACTGGAAACAAGGAGAAAAAATAGCCAGACACTAAGTACAGCAGAAATATTGGATTCTTTGGGCACTGTAAGAGACCGTAAGAGACAACACAGTAAAATACATACAGCCATTTATTGAAATAAAAGAGTCATATATTCATCATTGGACCCATTGTACAAACATAACATACCATGCTTGTACAATGGGTCCTATAAAGAATATATGACTCTTTTATGTCAATAAATGGCTGTATGTATTTTACTGTGTGGTCTCTTACGGTGCCCAAAGAATCCAATATATCTGCCATACTTAGTGATCACCGCAGGGAGTTGCTGCCTGTGCAGACAGCTGTAAATAACTACAGCCGCTGGCAAATTGACATAATAGTGAACAGAGACGTCGGCTTCACCTGGAGATTACTGCTGCTGCAATTCTCCCCAGCCTAAATCGCCGATGTGAATGTAGCCTAAGGTGCTCCAGGGGTTGCAGACATGCTGACCTCTTCAAGTACAATGCAGGGCCAATAGCCAGCATTAGTGTGTGAATGTAGACTTGGAGAAGAGGCTGCGGGGATTGGTTGTATAGCATGAAGGAAGCCTGCAGAGGTGAGGGAGTAGGTAAGTAAAATTCCTTATTGTTGGTACCCTAGACATAAACAAGCAGTTAACCCTTTCGCTGCTGGGAGAGCCCCACTGTTAGCCCTGGTTCACATCTTTGTGGTCGTGAGGGTCGTGATTTGTGTGGGCACGAGAGCCCATTCATTTGAATGGACTCCCGTCCCCCAGGACACACAGAGAAGAAGTCCCTGCACTTCTTTGGAAATCACAGCCCGCTCAGGAACCAGTACAGTTGTGATTTCCAGTGCGGGTGGCATGTCCTTAGAATTACTGGCACCCGCCCGCAGGTCCCACATTCCTCTGTGTGGGTGGTGCTGCTGCAGGCATTTGTGTGGGTCCCGCAGTGGCTTCACCCACACAGATGTGAACTGAGGGTTAGGGAGGATTTTTCTTTTCCCCAGAGCTCAGGTTTAACCCCTTGGTGCAAGCATCTTGCGGCCCTTTAAGGGGTTTATGATGGCAGGAAGCTGGGCAGGGTTTGGGGTCATGTGACCTCTGTGATTGGCTGTCACAGCGGTCACATGATCGTAAAGCTCCAGATCACAAGTAGCGATCAGGACCTGTGTAAATGTGGAAGCGTGTGTTCTCGGCACATGTTTGTTTACAATGGGTACGCAAATATGAGGCCTCTCTCATGACCCATCCAGCAAGAGGCTGCTTATTTTACATACCGTCGGCACCAAGGAGTTAAACAAGAAGGGATTACAGAACAGAAATATGATGTTGTGTATTATCTGTGAGTCTGGCAGGAGGTTTATATTACATTATATCTTGTGATGGGTTTCAGGATGACACTATAATAGAAGTTATGGCATAGTGTAAAGCTGTTTATGAAGAAATGCAATTGGTAATACTTCCTGTCAGTGACAGTAGGAAGGAGATTCTAATGATAATACCATATGCCACAGCTGAAACCAATGGATTATTTCAGTTCATTTTATTTAATTTTTTATTTCAGGTACTTACATAGTGCTGTCAATTTATGCAACGGTTTACATATATACTGTATATATATATATACACACCGTGTTCCAAATTATTATCCAAATGATATTTTTCTCATTTACCTAAATAATTGATGTAAATAACAGTCAGCATAATTCTCATGTTATCAACTATTAAGAGTACAATTCAAATTTTATTGAACAAACCTCCTAATGATAACAGGATTTTTTTTTAAACATAAAACACTTCCAATGCACTGTTCCAAATTATTACGCACAGTAAGTTTCAAAACACTTTATAGGTTGCAAAGAACTGAAAATTGTCTTTTGTTGTGTTTTGCAGCATATTTACTGAAAATCAAAAGCTATTTCAATCAAACTTTTAACAACATTTTAACTTTTTAAACATTTTAACAGGTCACGTTACATTGTAACATAGGACCCCTTATTTGATAGCAGCTTCACAAGTCTTGCATCCATTGAACGTGTGAGTTTTTGGACAGTTTCTGCTTGAAATTTGTTTGCACGATGTCAGAATAGCCTCCCAGAGCTGCTGTTTGGATGTAAACTGCCTTCCACCCTCATAGATCTTTTGCTTGAGGATGCTCCAAAGGTTCTCAATAGGATTGAAGTCATGGGAGGATAGAGGCCACAGCATGACTTTCTCTCCTTTTATCCCCATAGCAGCCATTGATGCAGAGGTATTCTTTGCAGCATGAGATGGTGCATTGTCATGCATGAACATGATTTTTTATTACGGAAAGCATAGTTCTTCCTTCTGTACCAGGGAAGAAAGTGGTCAGTCAGTCATAAACTCCACATACTTTCCAGGGGTCATCTTTACACCTTCTGGGACCCTAAAGGGGCCGACCAGCTCTGTTTCCATGATTCCAGCCCAAAACATGACTCCACCACTGCCTTGACGTTGCAGCCTTGTTAGAACAGGGTGGCCGTCCACCAACCATCCACTACTCCATCCATCTGGACCATCCAGGGTTGCACGGCACTCATCAGTGAACAGGACTGTTTGAAAATTAGTCTTCATGTATTTTTCTGCCCAATGCAGCCATTTCTGCTTGCTGTGAGCATTGGTTAGTGGTGGCCGAATAGAAGGTTTATGCACAGTTGCAAGACTCTGGAGGACTCTCTACACCTTGATGTCCGTGGGACTCCAGAGGCACCAGCAGCTTCAAATATCTGTTTGCTGCTATGTAATGGTATTTTAGCAGCTGCTCTCTTGATCCGATGCATGGATCTGGCAGAAATCTTCCTCAATGTGCCTTTATCTGCACGAACCCGTCTGTGCTCTGAATCAGCCACAAATCTCTTAATAGTGCGATGATCACGCTTTAAGTTTTCATGAAATATCTAATGTTTTCATACTTCGTCCAAGGCATTGAACTATTTCACTCTTTTTGGCAGCAGAGAGATCCTTTTTCTTCTCCATATTGATTGA